GATTTTGATCCGTAATGTCTATGAATGCGTTCATTATAAATTTTCACTAAAAGAATTTTAAAGCGATTTTGTTTTAGGAAAATTGCCTCAACGATTTTTTTTAGGGCACCTTAAGGGAAGCGTTATTTATCAGCTGATTACCCCATAATTTATTATGAAAATTTAATCAAATTCTAAGGTTAAAGTATATGGTGCGGGATAGAGTGTGCACTTTAAGAGGTCTGTATATAAATGGAAATACCAGGAATTGTCCGAGCGTGTGATCATATAAAAAGAAAACCGCTGATGTGAAAACTAGAAATTGTTACGGCTTATTCCGTATTGTTTATAACTTAGCCAGTTACGTCTTAAGTCATAACAGAATCTCTATTTTTATCGTATCTTTACACCTACATGTCAGCTCATTGATGACGAAATAATCGTAAATCTCATGTAGAATCTTCTATCCTTATTAGTATTAGTATTAGTAATAATACATGAGCGGTAACAATAACCGCGGAGATCGAATTTGCCTTTTTTAAAGCGCACATGACATTCGGAGTTAATTGAGATATTTTAAGAAAACTCTAATAGAATCAAAGAAGCACCTGATAAAAATTAGTTCCCATACCAGGTTAAAATAATCTGCATGTTATGTTAATCTGCATGATACGTACATACGTATCAATTTACATTCGTTCGAATTTAATTCCACGATTAAACTAACGGATCAATTTCGTTTCATTACGTTATTACCTGCGAAGATCTTTTAATATCTGCAAAAAGATTTAATCAAATCTAATTTGAGATATAAATCAAAAAAAAAATCTATTATTAATAATATAACAATAAATTTACGTATTTGATTCAATAGAAGCTTATTATCTGTTACTATCGTAAGACTGCATAGCCGCAGACTAACTATTATGGTAAATAAGTGGCACGAATTTAAACTTCACGTTCACATTGATACTTATTTATACAATAATTTACTGCATGATTTATTTGTATTTATTATCGTACGTATGTACGCATGTAATTACAATTTTGTTGGACGACGTAACATGGCATTAAATAAATTATAGTTACACTGTACGTTAAGTATATAAATTATGTGTAATTTGAGAAAAACAATCGTTCCGATTTTTTACGCTTCGTTCTTGTAAAAACTCGTCCTTTCCCCCCTTTCCTTATTTAAAACATGCTTGAAGAATCAAATATTAATCAAAATATTGTTTATAATTGTGATATTCTTGAAGATGTAAAACTTATTGGACGAGAGTCATACGAAGATGTTTCTTATGAAATATCCTCGAAATTCAGAGATCCTATAACATCAAAATCTATAAGAATTAATTCCTTTAAAACGAGGCTGCTGGTCGACGAGGTTATTAACATTTTAGCTACAATGTCATATAATAAATATAGTAAATTATTGTAATTGTTCTTAACATGAAAAATAGAGAATTTATTATTATTTTTATAACATTCTATAGCTCAAACAATTTAATAGCGTTCGGCCTCATATGTATATATTAGAATTTTACGGTATTACTAAAAGTGGTATGTTAAAAAAAAACGTTAAACTGGGGTTTTAATGTGAATTATGTATAACTTATATCTATTTACTTATAATTCATTATTTAATTTCGTAGAGCTATCAATACAGTCAGCAAAAATCACCGGAATACTTTTACGAGAAATA